GCTTTCCAATTAGGCTAGATGGCCTGGCCAGAGAGCTCCAGGGAGCTTCCTCTTGCTGTCTCCTAGTACTCTGATTACAAGAGTGAACTACTACATGTAATATTTTTATGCAAATTCTGGGATAGAATCTCTAAATGTTTGAGTTGCAAACACTTAACAGCTCCCCCACCCTCACTTGTTCTGGGACTTTTCAAACCCAGGCAGCAATATAAAAGAACTTACTTGATTTTCCTAAGAAACATGTCTTCAACATTCTGTAACTTGCTTAAAGCGAAGGAAAGGCATGTGTATTACTTAGCCCTGACAGACAGGGTGGCTTGAACAAAGGCACTCCTAGCAGCTCTGGAGCCTGGCAATCTGTGTTCAGTGGGCATTCAGAGTCTGCTGCTTTCTTTTGTTGTGCCTTTCCTTCCCGTCAAGAAACTAAAACAAACAACATGTCATAGAAATAAAAGCAATTTGATGGTGGCTACTAGCTTGGTGTATATCACCTTCATTTTGTGTACATATGTACCTTGCACCCTGCTCTCTCCAAGACTTGTATCATGAAGGGATGTTGGTTTTGTCAAATGATGTTTTTGACATCTAGTGAGATGATCATGTGGTTTTTTTCTTTCAGTTGGTTTATAGGGTGGATTGTGTTGATGGATTTTTGTATATTGAACCAGCCCTGCATCCCTGGGATGAATCCTACCTGTTCATGATGGATGATGTCTTTGATGTGGTCTTGGATTAGGTCTGCGAGTATTTTATTGAATGTTTTTGCATCAATGTTCACAAGAGAAATTGAACTGAAATTCTCTTTCTTTGTTGAGGCTTTGTTTGTGTTAGGTGTCAGGGTGACTGTGGCCTTAAAGAATGAGTTTGCCAATGTTCTTTCTGTTTCTATTTTCTGGAATAGCTTGAATGGAGAGAAACACTAAAATCGGGGACAAGATAAAGCTGTCCACTCTCCCCCTATCTCTTCAATGTAGTACTTGAAGTTCTACCTAGAGCAATAAGACAACTAAAGGAGATTGACAGGAAACAAATTGGAAAGAAAGAAATCAAAGTATTGCAATTCACAGAAGAAATGATAGTATGCATAAGTAATCCCAAACATTCTACCACAGAACTCCTACAGCTGATAAACATCTTCAACAAAGTGGCTGGATATAACATTAACTCAAAGAAATCAGTAGCCCTACTCTACATAAGCAACCAAGGGGTTGAAAAGGAAGTTAGAGAGATAGTCCCCTTCACAATAGCCACAAATAATAAAATATACCTTGGTGTAACTCTAACCAAATAAGTGAAAGACCTGTATGACAACAACTTCAGGTCTCTAAAGAAAGAAATTGAAGAAGATATCAAAAGATGGAATAACCTCCCATGATCATGTATTAGTAGGATTAATGTAATGAAAACTGCTTTTGGTAATCCTACCAAAATCAATCTATATCCAATGCAATCTCCATCAAAATTTTAACACAATTCTTTACATATCAGAAAGGAAAAATTCTCAACTTCATATGAAAGAAACAAAAAACTCAGGATACCTAAAACAATCCTGAACAATAAAAGTACTTCTGGAGGTATCACTATTCCTGATTTCAAGCTGTACTAAAGAGCAATAGTAATAAAAACTGCATGGTATTGGTATAGAAAAAAAACAGGACATCAACAGAATTGAATCCAAAACCCAAACACTTACAGACACTTGAATTTTGACAAAGAAGCCAAAACCATACAATGGAAAAGAAAGAACATCTTCAACAGATTGTGCTGGTCTAACTGTAAGTCTACATGTAGAAGAATGCAAATAGATCCATATTTATCACCCTGTACAAAACTCAAGTCCAAATAAGGCAAAGACCTCATCATAAAACCAGATACACTAACTCTAATAGAAAAGAAATTAGGAAATAGCCTTGAACTTGTCAATGCAGAACACAACTTCCTGAACAGAACACCACTGGCTCAGACACTAAGGTCAAGCATTAATAAATGAGACCTCATGAAACTGAAAAGCTCTGTAAATCAAAGGACACCATCATTAGGACAAAATGACATCCTACAGATTGGGAAAAGATCTTCACTAACTCTGTATCTAACAGAGGGATAATATCCAAAATATATAAAGAACTCAGGAAGTTAGACACAAACAATTCAAATAACCCAATTAAAAAATAGGGTACAGAGCTAAACAGGGAATTCTCAACAAAGGAATGTCAAATGGCTGAGAAGCCACTAAAGAAATGTTCAAAGTCCTTAATCATCAGAAAAATGCCAATCAAAATTACTCTAAGACTCCACTTCATACCAGTCAGATTTACTAAGATCAAAAACTCAAAGAGACAGCACATGCTGGTGAGGTTGTGGAGCAAAAGGAACACTCCTCCTTTGCTGGTGGGAGTGAAAACTTGTACAAGCACTCTGGAAATTTATTTGGAAGTTTCTATCTTAAGACACAACTATACCACTACTGGTCATATACTCAAAAGATGCTCCACTATCCCACAAGGACACTTGCTCAACTATATTTATAGCAGCTTTACTCATAATAGCCAGTAACTGGAAACAACATAGAAGACCATCAACTGAAGAATGGCTAAGAAAATGTGGTTCATTTACATAATGAAACACTAGTCATCCATTAAAAACAAGGGCATCATGAATTTTGCAGGCAAATGGATGGAACTAGCAAATATTATCCTTAGTGAGGTAACCCAGACCCAAGGAACATGTATGTTATATCCTCACTTATAAGTGGATATTAGTCATAAATTACAGAATAACCATGTTCTAATCATTAGACCCAAAGAAGCCAAATAACAAACAGGGCCCAAGAGAGTATGGTTGAACCTTTCTTAGAAGGGAAAACAAAATAGATTTTGGAGGTCAATGGGAGAGGGGGTACTGGGTGGACGAGGGGATGGGGAGGTAAGCAGGACGAGGGAGGAGAACATCATATGTAGGGAGAGCAGGTGAAATAATGGAGATTGGCTGTGGTGTGGCACAATTTCTAGGATGGTACAGAGGCCTGAGATGGGAGAGGCTCCACAGAGTCTATGGGGGCTGAGATTTCTAGCAATGGGGCATATGGATCCTGAAGTAGCTACTCCCCAAGACTTCCAGTGGAGGTATAAGGACAGCAACCCACCCACAAAATCTTCATCCCAAAGTGTCTCCTGCCTATGAGAAGTGTAGGGTCAAAACAGAGCAGATACCAAGAGAATGGCCAACCAATGAATGGCTGTAATTGAGACCCATCCCATGGGCAAGAACCAATCCCTGACACTATTAATGACTGTAATTGTTTGTATATGCTTGGCCCAGGGAGTGGCACTATTTGGAGTTGTGCCTTGTTGGAGTAGGTGTGTCACAGAGGAAGTGGGCTTTAATACCCTAGTCCTAGCTGCCTGGAAGTTAGTACTCTGCTAGCAGCCTTCTGATGATAATATAGAACACTCAACTCCCCCTGCACTATGCCTGCCTGGATGCTGCCATGTTTCTACCTTAATGATAATAAACTGAACCTCTGAACTTGTAAGCCAGCACCAATTAAATGTTGTCCTTATAAGAGTTGTCTGTTCACAGCAGTAAAACCCTAAGACAAAGATATTCTGTTGTGCTTGCAGACAGGAACTTAGCATAACTGTCCTGAGAAGCTTCACCCATCAGCCATGGGTGAAAGGGATGCAGAGGCTCACACCCAAATATTAAATGGAGCTCAGGGAGTTTTACAGAAGAGTTGGGAGAAGGATTGAGGAGCCCGAAGAGGTCGGGGACTCGACAGAAAGACCAACAGAGTCAACTTACCTGGATCCTTTGGGGTCCCTAGAGACTGAATCACCAACCAAAGAGCAAGCATGGGCTGGACACAGGCCTCCTGCACATATGTAGTAGAATGGTGACATTTAGAGGGGAGCTTCTCCTTCTTAAAAGAGAAGGGAAAGATGGAAGCGGGTTAAGACTTTCATGAGAGTGAGTTTCTGCATCTCTTTCTATTGTATGAGGAGATGAAAAGCTAATATTGTGTTGTAAGGTGAATAAATAAATCAATTAATTTAAAGGAAGTAAAAACATTATACTACTATGCAAAGCTGTGTTCAAGCAGATACATTAATCCACTCTTCTACTTTCATTATTCTCACCCCTTCGGGAAGAAATTCAGGCAGTATCCACGCAATAACTATAGTTGAACGTCTTCAGCTCAGTCTTCTCTGTGTATATGATATCACAGTCAGGTTTTTTTTTTTTTTTTTTTCCCAGTGAAAATATCCCTGGATCAGCTTTCCTTCCCCACAACCCCCGTCACGACAGCTGTACTGCCAGTGACGGCCACTAAGGGGCAGACCCTGCCGCCGGAGCTTGGATATGTAAACAGTGCAGTTAGGCACTGGTGTGGCACCAAGCCAGTTGGAGTCAGATTCCTGGTGTGGCAGCCCAACTGTTAGGTGACGTTCGCCCTAAATCTGAATAACGTGATTTGGAGTTTGATGTTTTTCCTTCTTGGTCCGTTAACTGCTACGCGGGGATTACCCTCTCCAGATAGGGTGGGGTCCAGAATCAGGCTGGTCTGTGCTACCCTACTCAAGGTGAGGTTAGCATCACGTGGAACGAGGATCACTCCAAGTGCGGTCGGACTTCCCAGATACTGGAATAGTCCAGCTTCATAGAGAGCTTCGCTTCGGGAACAGGGAACAACTAACCAGTTCCCTGGGTAGCTCATCCAATAGGACAGCCCAGCTCATAACCAGCCCTGTTCCCTGGATAACCCTGCCCTGGAAAAGGTCCGCCCCTGAGAAGCTCCGCCCTCCAGACGCAAATCTGCTCTCAAAAAAGCCATTCACTCCGAGAGCAAGCTTGCCTAATGACCCCGCTCTCCACAGCTCCGCACCTGGAGGCCCCGCCCACAGAACACCTTTATTCAAACAGCGCTCCACTCTGCTGCTAAGATCCAATTGCAGCTACCCCATTGTGGGAGCTTTCTGTCCTGGTTTCTTCCAGTGTGCTGCTGAGTGTCTTGGCACTTGTGCGACTCAGAAAGGAAATCCTTAAAGCGCCAGAAGGCTACTGGACGCCATTCCCGACAGTCAGTGTATCTTCTCACAGGTCTGTTTTTCTTTTAGTTTTATTTGACTGGTACAGTTTTCTAATTAACTCAGAACTCCTTTATCTTTGCTCTTTGAATTTGAGCCACAACTTTGAAAAATGTGCGTGCTCACACGTGCATGAAAACGCATTTAGTTACGGGGTGCTGGGACTGTTTGTGTTTGTTTGCTCTTCCTGCCAAACTTGGAGAAAATGAGAGGATTTTCTTCTCAAACGAACTTAATGAGACATTGAATTTGGGATTCCTGATCTACCTGCTGCCTTTCCCACCCCTAAGCAGAATTTCCCACAGTTCACTTTCCTGGGAGCAGTGCTATGAGGTGGGGGTGGTGAGGCACATACAGACATGCCAACACCAAGAAACATTTCACCTCACAGAGGAGTGGCTGAAAAGTGACAGGGTTCTATACAGTTCTTCCTCAAGGATATGGAAGGTGGGGATGCATTCCTCACACCCAGGCCAGCTCAGCTCAACCTGGTCATGGCCATGAGCTAAAAGGACTGGCCTATGAGAACAGGTGAGAGGAAATGGTCTACCTGAGCTGTTAACAGTTCATGCAAACAGAATGAACGAAGGAGATATGAGGGACATTGGGGTCTGATATGTGCAGGTTCTCCACAGAAGGCTATTTGTGACAGAGCCCTGAAAACCCAAGTGAAGAACATAGGGAGAAACAAAAGAAATGGAAGGGAGAAACCCAACAAGGGTGAGTGTTAGCTGTCTAGATCTGACTGCTACACAGCTCAACTCTTCCAGGGATCCTCCTAGGATGCACCTCAAGGGGCCCTGGGCAAGTATCCACAGCTCTCTCGAGTACCTGAAACTAACTTAGGATGTCAGCTCACAGCCATTGTAGAGTTGCCTTGTCAATCATGTGAGTGAAGGTGGAGGAGGTCCCCTGTGGTGAGCTACACAGATGTGGGAATAACAAAGTTGTGTAGATCACCAGCTACACCCCATGTCACTCAAGGGAAGGAGAAAGGGAAGAGAGAGAAGCACTTGCATTGCTCACTGTGTTTATACCACACATAGTCTAATCTGTCAAACAATGGTCCTCAGGCCTGAGTGATTGGTCCAGAGAGAGAAAAGTCTGAAGTGGATACTGGAATAAGCTCAGCTCTCAACATACCAAGCTTCAGAAGAATTTGAAAAGACTTTGTCCACACATCAAAAGGAGTGGGGTGGGGTGGGGTGGGGTTGGGTGGGGTGGGGTGGGGAGGGGTGTTTCCAGTAGGACAGATTTGATCATTTGGAAGCCATTTCCAACAAGGAAAGCAAAGCTGCCAGAATTGATGCACTTTCTGAAAGGTCCCATGACCTAACTAATGCTGTTTCTAGCAGGTCATGTGACTCTTTTGCCTGAAAGAATAAAACAAACACCAAGTCAACCCCAGCATTTGATTCATCAGGTCCTATTGGAAGCTGCACCTCCTTATCTACCTCAGGACATGTTCCTCTCTGCCCTTCACTCTACTGCTGCCCTGGTGTGCCTCATATGAAAATGTTCCTCCCACACCATTTCAGATCTCAGCTTTAAGCCCACATTCATACCAGGTCTTTCCTGGCATGTAGTCTACAGCAGTCTTCCCAGTGGCTGGTTCATAGTTCATCAACAGATGGCAACTGGAAACAGCTGCAGTTGTATTTATTTATAAGCCTACTTATTTATTGTCTTTACATTTCTTATGTATTAAGTCATGAAAGTGGATTCCTCGTCTGTTTTGTGCTTCACTTTATCCTCAAAGGGAGAAACTAATCTATTTTCTGGACCGAAAGCATTTAGTTAATTGCCTTTCTTACTGCTTCCTCATTCTGTTTTAACCAACCTGAGTCTCTGCTTCCTCTGCAGCAGCTGGGCAGAACCATGGCAACAACTCCTGATGCTGCTTTTGAAGCCCTCATGAATGGAGTGACCAGTTGGGATCTCCCTAAAGAATGCACTCCCTGTGAACTCCTTCTTATTGGGGAGGCTGCCTTCCCAGTGATGGTGAATGACAAGGGTCAGGTGCTCATTGCTGCCTCTTTCTATGGCCAAGGCCGCCTGGTGGTCGTATCCCATGAGGGCTACCTGATGCATGCTGGCTTGGTTCCATTTCTCCTCAATGCAGTGAGCTGGCTCTGCCCCTGCCCAGGGGCTCCCATTGCAGTACATTCTTCCTTAGCACCATTAGTTAACATCCTAGGTGACTCTGGGATAAATGCATTGGTTCAGCCTGAGCCTGGAGAAGCTCTGGGAGTTTATTGCATTGATGCCTACAACGACACCTTGACTGAGAAGCTGATCCAGTTTGTGAAGCGTGGTGGGGGCTTGCTCATTGGAGGCCAGGCCTGGTATTGGGCCAGTCAACATGGCCGTGACAAGGTGCTGTTCAGTTTCCCTGGGAACCAGGTGACAAGTGTGGCTGGAGTGTACTTCACAGATGTCTATGGGGATATAAACCGCTTCAAGGTCTCTAAGAAGGTACCCAAGATCCCACTCCATATCAGGTAAGTGTTCCATTCCAACCATTTATAGAGTCTAACTCTTCTTAAATAGTGCTGATATCCTGTCTTCACTTAGTATCTATTTTCAATGTAAATGATTGTTTTTACAGTCTTCTAACTTCTACAAATCAAAAACTTGGTCACTAAAATGGTCACTAAAGTACATCAAGGCCCAAGAGAAGCTGATTCCCCTAGTCATTCCCTTGGAGAAGTAATCATCCACTTAAAAGAAAAGCTCCACATATATGCTATTATGCTTCTACATGCCTGAAGTTTAGAGGGCTTATCAGTATGCTAAATAAACACTAAATAAACTGAAAACACTGCTGTATCTATTTGAACATCTGCAATTGGGCCTGGCCCTATGCTGGACACTGAGGATGTAGCAGAAATGAAAACATTGTGTGCTCCCATGAAGCCTACTACATATCAGTGGAAAAATCAATAATCTGGTAAGCAAATCAATAGATAAGAACGCCATCAGATGTTGAAAAGAGCCACAAGAAGAGAGAAAAGCATGCTGTAAGGAATCAGAATGAGGGGAAGAGTAATGCTCTTTAACCCCTTCATGGAAGGCATAGAAATCAAGCTGTAGCAGATGCAACACAGAAGATGGCAGAATATAGACAGTGGCTCTGAGTGCAAATGAACAGCTTGGAAAGTAGCATTTGAAGAGACACTTGAATGGGATGTGCTAGCAACTCAGAGGAGCAAAACCAAAGTCTTAAGCAGAAGCCAGCTTGGCAGATTCCAAGAACATGGAGGAAGCCAGAGTGGTTGGAGATGCATGAGTGAAGGTTTCCTCACCAGGAGGGGAGCACGAAGACCAATTGCTCTTTTTCCAGAAGTAAAGAATTTACCACAGTGGACTAACAGTTTCTGACTTTCTTTTTCATTTGAAGCATGACAGCCAGGTAGCCAGTGCAGGATCTTGACAGTGTCTCCATGATGTTCCTGTCTCCACTGTGGATTGTTACTTTTTTTTTTTTATTGGATATTTTATTTACATTTCATATGTTATCCCCTTACCCCATCCCCCACCCACCCGGGAACCCCCCATCCCCTTACCCCTCCTCCTTCTTCTCTGTGGATGTAACCCCAGCCTACCCCCCCAACTCCCACTTCCCCACCCTCAAACTTCCCACCCCCTGGGGCGTCCAGCCTTCATGAGGTCAAGGATCTCATCTTCCATCTGTGCCCGGCAGGGCCATCCACTCTTACATATTCAGCTGAAGTCCTGGATCCCTCCATAAGTGCTCCCAGGCTGGTGGTTAGGACCCTGGGAGCTGTGGTTGGTTGGTATTGTTGCTCTCCTCATGGTGCCACAAACCCTTTCAGCTCCTTCAGTCCTCACTCTAACTCCTCCATTGAGAACCCCATGATCAGTTCAATGGCTAGTTGTGAGCCTCTGCCTCTGAATATGTCAGACTCTTGAAGGCCTCTGAGGGTACATCCATATCAGGCCCTTATCGGCATGCACTTCCTGACTTCCACATCACCATCTACCTTTGGTGACTGCACATGGGATGGATTGTTACTTTTACCCGTTGTTAAAAATGGCCAGGGCTGCTCCGGGCTCTATAATTATACCCAGGCAATGATTGCTGACACAGACACACTATCTGAATCTATCATTAAAAAAAATAACAAAAAAACTATAAAATAATCTATTTTCTTGTAGTTTTGATCATGAAATGGATCTCTATTGATATGTTAGTGATCAAAATTTAATCAGGTGGTCAAAATTTAAGGACTGAGGAATCTCAGGATATTTATAAATGGTCATCATCACTGAAAAATTAAAATCTTGCTGCAAAGAAGAAAGGCAAGGCCAGTGAACAGTTAGTAGTTTCCTGCAATCATCAGCCCCAGAGAAGGTACCTGAGAATTTTTTTTCCTTACAGAAGGTTTTGGACAGGGTAATCAGGCACAAAGAAGTGGACCTGATTTGTTCTAAGCTGGCTTTAATTCTGTAGCCAACTGACAAGCTCTGGCCTGTGAGCTACCCTCCTGATTTTGTTTATGGTGTTTTACTGGAGCATAGCCATGATGACTTATTGTCAAATTTCTTGTGGCTGTCTCCAAGTCTCAGCAATCCTTTCAGCAGAATCCATAAATCCCAAAAAGTATTGATCTGTCCCTTTAAGAAATGCCATCCGACATGGAGACTCAGCAGCACAGTTGCCTCAGCTGCCTCAAAGAACTCTTCTTTCAACAAAGGAAACCTGTTTCTCTTCATCTCCACCTACGTGTCCCACCTACGTGTTCCACCTCTGCTACTCAATCTGAATTTTTGTGACTTTATGTTATCATATTTCATTTTCTGTGGAACTTCAAGGATACACAAAAGTAGAAAGAACAATACAATAGTCTCTGGGCAGTTGTGACCCAACACCGAGAACAGTCAACTCATGGTCAGTCTTATTCACCTACAAATGGAAATAAGTCAGCAGAAGAAAATGGAAGAACAGCAGGTCTATCTCAAAAGAGTGAGAGCAGACTTTATTGGTCTGAGAGCTTAGCTCTTGCAAGCCCTAGGGCTCAGTCTGGGAAGGTCTAGGAAAACTTGCCATTCAGTCTAAGAGTCAGTTTTTACACCGGAGAGTAGGGAGGGAGAGGGGCCAGCTGCAGCAGGCCCATAATCAGCTATGTGCTCAGAAGTGGTAAGCCACATTGCCTGTTTTGGCCTCCTCCTAGGTCTAGGCTCTCAAATTCCATGGACAGCAGGTTTCTTGTAGCCTGTTTTATGGCCATGGTTTGGGGGTTCAGTGGTTTCCCTTTCATCTACAGCCTCACCTCTGATTATTTTTAAATAATTGTGCTGATGCATTCTATATATATCTAATGACACAAACTCTTAAAAACATAACCACAGGGGTGTCACCAAGGCTTTGTACAATCACTGCCAGGCTTCCATAGAGTTTGTTGTGAGAGGTTCCAGGTCACTCGAGTATGTTTTCTGTCTCTGAGCTGGCATCCATGATTGCTAGATGGATTTTGGTCCTTTTGTGGGACGTGTTTATTGATACTAAGTTGATCAGCATCTATAAACCTTCCAAGTGATCAAAACTAAGGAAAATATCTCTCTCTTAGGATCAATATATATGCCAAAGAGTTCATACTGATACATCTCATATGAATTCAGGATAGCATGGATTTTATTGAATCTCCACAGTCTCCTGTTGAGATCTGTTTATTTTTCCCCTCCCATTTTGTAAGACACCATCATAACTAACTACTTGCTTTACCGTAATATACACCCAACAGTTTCAAAAACTCAAATAACTATGCTATCGACAGCAAAATGATGTGGGCTCCATGAGTGACGGGAACACTGCAAGTAGCATTGTTTTAGTTAGCATTGCCAAGTTGGCTTTGTAGATTGGGTTTCCTAAGAAAAGAAATGGAGATAATGATTTCCCCTTTCCGGGTTGGGTTTCTCAGGAAGCTGAGTCTGACAGGAATTGGTGTTCAAAGATCCTTTAAAAAGTGCTGTCAGACTGTAAACAGGTAGCCTTGGCAGACAATACCAACTTAGATAAGGACAAGTGAGTCATAGGCAGAGTCATAGTGTGTACTGTCCCCTGAACCTTCACCCAGCTGTTACCCGGTTCTGAAAGACATTTATATTCCCCCTGAACACCCACATTCCAGCGTCATCCCCTTCCCCACATCCTGCCTTTCTGTGTTTATAACCCCTGTGTGAATGAATTACGAGTTGAGAAAAAATAAATAAATTATTTTTTAAAAAAAGAGAGAAAAAAAAGTGCTGTCAGTGGGGGAAAAGAGGAACGATGAAGCAGGAGAAGGTACTCAAATAGCAACAAACATTTCTTAGTAATTAACCATGGCAACAATTATTTCCTCTCATCCTCATAGCGTATTTTCCTTAGGATATATTACATTATTAAGTTAGGTTAGTGTCTTTTGGTACCCTTTAGTATGGTTTCCCTTTTTGTGCTTAGACTACTATGTAACTGGAAACTTCTGGTCTCTTGTTTATTTGCCTTTGCTATTTAACTTTTTAGAACTGTGCCATATAGTTATACACACACACATACACACACACACACACACACACACACACACATGCACACACACATGCACACACACACACACAGGAAGAGAGAGAGAGAGAGAGAGAATAAAATTTAAAACATTCTGTCTGCTCCCCCATTCAATCCCCCTCTTCCCTCCCCGTTTAAATTCATTAACACTGCATTATTTCTTTATACACATAGGCAGACATATTCACATGTGTCAGTGCCCTTCTCTTTCTTTAAGAAAGTAGTGGCACACTCCATTTTCTCCACTTCCTTTTTTCAGTAGTATTCTGTATTATCAAGCTGGGTATGGCTACAGAACACCACACCAAGATACCCTGCATATTCTCTTGTGCTTCCATGTGTGGCTATCAAATACTTAAGTTCCTTAGTGACAGACATTTGAATTTTTGTTTTTTTTTTAATTTTTCTGTTATTTTTACAGATGAGCTGCAGTGAATACCCCAAGAGATGTATCTTTATAACCTTGCTGTGTCCGTGGAATTGGGATGGCTCTTTGACAGGGGGTGTGAATGTTTAGTCTCGTTAGCATTACCATGCTACCTCTATTGCAAGTTGGGTTCCTAAGACACTAGCTCCTGAGACAGAAATGGTGTTCTGGAACCTCATTAAGAAGCGTCTTCACTGCAGAAAAAGAAAAAAGATGGGGTAGGGACAGAAGGTAAACTATGAGGCAAATATTTAGTACATGTTTCTTAGTGATATTATCACTATTAAGTGAAATATAGTAAGACACTTATTGTCTCCAATAGAAGACTCTTTAAGAATATATGGTATATACTACAGTTATAGTGAATAATTATGTGACCACTAAAAAAAATCATACATTTAGCACTCTTAAAAGGAAAGCAGAATGCTCATGATACAGTAAATAATATTAAGACACACCATTCCATTAAAATTATGTATAATTTTGACACTAGTACTTATGCAGGTAGA